AGGTCTCAATCTATAAACACGAACAAGTACGCAATAAAAAAAAATACCAACTCATACAAAACTACAAATTTACTCTATTATTACAAAATGTAGCGATACGTTGTTTATCTAAACATAAGCATTCAAATGAAAATATAATGTGGAAAACTAGGTTTGTCAAACAATTTCGGATATTTTTCATTGCAAAAATTTACTTGTGCCCTGCCCTTGACACTTTGCAGCAGTTCGCGGTTCATGTCAGTGAATGCCGGCGTTCCTCAGGGCTCCGTCCTATCCCCCACTTTCTTTCTGCTGCATATCAATGACTTAATTCCTCTTGGGAATATTCATTGCATTCCAGGCGATAGTACAGTGCATGCGGGGTATCTCGGACAAGCAGCGGCTGCACAGGCGGTCACCAAGGAGAAACGGGAGAATGTTGTCCTTGAACTCAATTAGGCTTTGGACCGTATTTCTGAATGGGGTACCAGGAATTTGGTTGAGTTCAATGCTAAGAAAATCCAGGTCTGCGCTTTCACGGCAAAAACGTCGCTATTCCTTTCATTTACAATATAATTTTCAATCTATATCATCGTTGTTTACGAATGTTCTCAATTACTAATTCCTGGTACTGAAATTGACTTACCGGAGCTAAATTGCCAATCAATTTATCTATTATCTTACTTCCTATCCAACTAATATCCTATCTCCTACTTCCTTCCTTCTCCTACTTATATAATAAACGGAAAGCTTGTGTGGATGTTTGTTACTCTTTCTCGCTAAAACGGCTGAACGGATTTGGATGGAATTTAGCGTACACATATGAAGTTGATTACGTACATTGATACATAGGATAATATTTATTCCGGAAAAAATAGGTTTCTGCGAGATTAAAAAAATATATAGAACGGGAGTAAAGTCGTGGGCGGAAGCTAGTTCATAATAAAGGTGATCGGAAATTGGTCATTGGGAATAGTTGTAAGATTGAGCTGTTTGAGAGGTAAAACTTCGACGATATGGGAACAAAGCAAAACTGTATTCATTAATGCATCTAATGTTCTGTTGTTATGTTTTTGAAAATCGCAATGGCAGAGTTTCATGTACGGAGAGGAGTTCCCTTTTTAGATGTATAACATCTTTCCTCTCGCTTTCCTGCAATTTGTGGGAGTGATTTCGAGAAATGGGACGGAAATGTGTAACAGGAAGTCGCGAAAGCGCGTACTATTTGATTTGTTTTTAGAACATAATGTTCAAACGGCTTATTCCTTTTGTAGTAGTTTTGTAGCTTTTATTTCTTTTTTTACTAATATAAGGTGAGGTTTCAAATGTTACACATCATACGCGACTACTGTAAGGCTCGCTCGTTTTTTTTATATATTTTTTAATAATACAACAGTAATAGAAATACACATTCGGAGAAAATTCCAACTATCTAACTGTAACGGTTCACGTGACACAATGCGCTGACAGACAGACGAATAGGGGGATAGTACAGACTTTAAGTTCGTTGTGGAAGCCTTAAAAAGAAAAATCGTCAGCTGGGCGTTATAGTTCACCAAGGAATCCTAAAACCTAAAAAAACTGTGGTCTCGTGAGTAAATGTCTGCGATCAAACTCGGCTACCTTAACCCAACCTAACTCAATGTGCTCCGCGTTGTCAAACAATGATGCGAAATGACGGTCACGTCTCACGTGTCGTCCTATATAGGGGTACCAATTCTTTAATCAAACAATTATTATTATTACAGAAACAACGCCAAAATTTTCAGAAAATAATGCAGAAACTTTAAAATTAGGTTTACTTCTGAATGTAAGGTAGTTTGATGGGACTTCGAAATGTAAATTTTTTAAGGAAAAATATTTTTGACATATTAACATAGTATGTATTATATACTAGCGGCCGCCCGCGACTTTGTACGCGCGGAGTTAGTTAGAAATAAAGGTTCAATGCTCGTTCCCTGTCGGTGATAGCGTGATAATATGTAGCCTATGTGTTGATCCGACCTCATAATAATATTCATGTCAAAGGAGATTGCTCAGTTTCCATACATGTTTGGCCTAAATACCAATAATCATGAAAAATTGTTTCCGAGATTCGAAATTATATATAAATTACTGTAAAAACGAATATTATTGACGGACACCCCTACACTATAAACCATATTATACACTGAACATGTTAAAATAATAAAAAACAAATAAGTTATATAGTAAACTAGGGAAATCAAGCCAAGTACCGAAATTATGGATTAGATTCAGGTATATAGAGCATGTAGATTAACAGATAGTTGCCTGTTTTTAAAGTTAATACATAAGAGTAACTTTTAAAATCAGGTGTCATTTCCGGTTATAATAAGGAACTCTGTGACAGAAACTGTGTGATGATTGTGAATGAGCCACAGATAAGAGAGAATTTTTAAACTCTCGTTAACCAAAGAAAGCTAAGAGATTTAGGTTCTATAGCCATATATTCAGTAGCTTCATTATTTTTGTTATGTTTTTAAGATAACCATATTTTAGATTTTTAGTGTATCACACCTTATAATTTTATTTATTTATTAATTTAAAGTCAGGCAACGTAGGCCCATAGATAGATATCTTAAAGTCTAACATATATACAGATTATAATGTGTTTATGGAGGTGTTTGGCGAAAAATGTATGGCAATAGACTTTATGATGTCGCCTACCATCTATAATAATTGTCTGAACACATTTGCATGTAGTGAAAATGATAATATACTTGTGGATATTAATTCCATAGTGTAATAAAAAAAATGATTTATTTTATCGATCTTTACAAAATAGATTTGTTTTTATGTTATATTAAACAACTTCGATCAGCCTTTGGCTGAATGTTACTACACCCATAGCCATTAAAAATGATTCGTATGTTTTCCAAACCGGTAAAATTAAAAGTCCTTTTTAAAGTAAATATATTATACAAAGGTGTCCGTTGAAATCTAATGACTGTAAATGAAATTATAAATCAAGCCAAGAATTACCGTGTATGTCAATATTTTTTGTGCATTTGGGCCAATTTGAGCAGTCTCCTTTGAAGTAAATCCATCCAAGTTGGCTTCGGTATCGATTGTAGATCATACCCCAACAAGTATTCTATTAATAAAATATTAAATGTACAGTTTTGACTTTCCTACCATTTTATTATATGTATAGATAATGAAGAGGCCTAAATTATACTACAGATAGACGAAATTAATACATAAAAATTATTCAATAAATAAGGAATAAAACCATTTTTAAGACCGGCAGCCCTATTATGGATGGACTTTGACGGTCGTTTAGTATATTATTATATCACTATGTACAAATCACAGATACCAATTGATCGTACACAATAGCCCTCAAGGCAGCCCAATGTTTTGGTTCAATCATTTTAATACAAGAAGAATCTAAGCTGTGCTTCAGCGCTGATCTGTTTTGATGCACGATTTAGTTATAGTTGTTACGATTGGATGGATAATTTACGATTATCATTAAAACGTTCAGTAGTGGGTACTTTGTTCAATAATAAGATCATCTATATTTATGAACCCTTATCTATTTACAAACAGTAGCAATTTAGATAAAAAAATATTTAATGTTGGTGCACAAGTTTTTATGATTCTCTACAATCATTCCTGTAATCGCCATTTGTTGCAACTATTAATTTTTAATCATTCTTGGTATTTTATGAAGTCATAATATTTCTAATATCAATTTAGACACTGATATTAAGACTTTAGACGACAAAGATTATTTTGAGCATTTTTCTTGTAGTATCTCAAAGACAGCTTGGACATTGGTTGTTGTGGAAAGCAGCCCGAGTAGAGGTGAATGAGTCGTGCCTTTGAAAATAGTAACAAGAAGCATCAGTTATGCCCAGTGTGTTGCTGGGGATAACGGCTTGTTTATCAAGGTATAGAGACTAGAACTTAAGGAAAAGAAAGATTGTATAGACTCTAGCTAGACTCTACACAGTATGTAAACATTGTAATGTGGGTACTATACTAAAGTCGCGTCTCGGCAGCACGGTCTGGCGCAATGCACGGGCGGATCGCGGGCAGTGGGGACCCCTTTGCATCGCACGCACGCACGATGAGGGAAGTATGTAAAAAGCATTGTTCTGGTGCAGTGCACGGGCGGAGCGGGCGAGGGCGCGGGCGGCGGTGACTGCTCTGCATCGCACGCACGACTCGGGGGCATAGCTCTGTTATCAGGTGCCTGTCACTTCACCAGCCAAGTATAGTAATATGGGTACTAACATCGCGTCCCGGCAGCACGGTCTGGCGCAGCGCAAGGGCGGACGGGGACCGCTCCGCATCGCACGCACGACAAGGGAACTATGTAAGCATTGTAATGCTGGTACAACGATATTATATACCCTAGATGTCCCACGTGCGCTCAAAATGTGTCCCTATCAAGAAGTGCTTGAAAGTGTTCAAGCACTTCTTGGTTCACTGTCACGCGCGGACCGTTGAAAAGTCAAGTTGCCGCAGAGCTCCGTGAAAAATTGCGAAACAAATACTTACAGTATGTTAAGTGTGATTTTTTAGACAGGTATCTAATCAATGTTTGTTAATTTAACACATTTGAAGCAAATTTTATCCTAATACTTACTATAAACTGATTTAATAGAAAATATTTGTGATATTCAAATGCATGGTCGATAATATAGCCGTCTCTTTTCCTCGCGGTCCGTACCTGCTATATTGCTAATAGCGCATTCAGAATTGCGAGTAGAATCAAAGAAATAAGGTCCATATTATTCAGAATATAGCTAGCAACAAGTCGTAAAATTTAACGAGCTTGCATTTCGAACTGTCAAAACTTTTTTAAGCATGCGTTTTAATTAAGACCTTATACAGTATGCATTAAAGGGGACTTTCAATGTTTAAATAATGCCTTATTATTTTTGACTATGCTATCATCTAACGGAGCGTACCTTTTGGACAGTTTTCGGGCACGATTTTGTTCGTGTTGGTGTATCTAAGGTATTTAATATCATTGTGTGGGTACTAACGTCGTGTCTCGGCAGCACGGTCTGGCGCAGTGCACGGGTGGAGCGGGCGGGGGCGCGGGCGGCGGGGACCGCTCCGCATTGCACGCACGACTCGGCACGACGGGCGCGCCGCAGCAGCCGGGCGCGGCGTTCGACCAGCACTTGTTCTGCGGATCACCAAGTTACATACACATAAGGTGGACTCTTTTATAAAAACAATGAGCTACGAGGATAGGATCAGACATTCTTTCAAATAGCAGAAACAGCACAACAGAATGGTGACATTTGGCTATAGTCTTCTGTAAGGTAAAAGGTCAAACAAGATAATGGCATTGAATAGTAAAGTTTTGCCCTACGCCATCAACAAAAACATATCAAAAATCACCAAAATCGTCTACACAAAACTATGTTTCACACACATATTTTTTGCATCAACAATGTTTTTGCTTTCCGAGCCTGATGGAAAACACGTAGACCTATCATCCCGGCAGGTTAAGGGGCGGCAAGGTATTGTTTCATCGACCCATTTTTTCGACAACTTGGTAGCTACAGCCACGTGGGATGTACACGGCGTCTGTAGAACATGTTTTAGAAACTAAAGTTGTTGTGCCTGTGTTTTTGTTGAAAGTATTCAAAAAACTTTTGCTGGAGACCCAGCTTAATCAGTCACACCTTTGAAGCTTTGCCAAAGGATATATTTTAATTTACTCCAATTATATGACGTGAGTCATTGTACGAAAAAATAACTCGAGCAAAAGTGTTATTGTAAAGTATAAAAACTTATAAGTTAAATGAAAAGACCTCAAATGATTGTAGGTAAAAAATGCTAAGCAACCAAAAAGAGCTTCTATTTTTTTATTTTCATCTATCACATAAAGCTTATTTCAATAATCCGCCGGACCGAAGAGAAAGCTCACTTCTCGAGTAAATTTTACCAGCCCCTTATTCACACAGAAATAAAAACTAATTTCAATCCGATCCGTATACTTTATCTCCGGTAAATCTTTCATGAGTGGAAGTGACAATGGAATTTACTGGAAATCCATTTCAGCAACAGAGCTTTAAATAGAGGCAGGTGGCTTATCGATACGTTACGTATTTACAAAAGTATGACGACCGACAACAACAAGTTAATGATAATCCATCGAGTGGTGGTTTCTTTGGATAAAAAATAACAAGAGTTTTTAAGAAATAAACATATTTAGATACTTAATAAAAGCAACACAATGAGATGTCAGTGTTATTCATCAATATAGATCAATATACATATTGTTTTAAACTTTCATGGCCCCTAACATTATAATAATATAAATTATTTACGGGATTGTTACCATGTACCTTGATTTTAACAAGTTTCCGATATTTCGGCACTGTTGCAAGCGCCATGATGAGTTACTCCGTGATCATGGCGCTTGCAACAGTGCCGAAATATCGGAATCTCGCTAAAAACTAGGTACATGGTAACAATCCCGTAAATAACTTATATTACTATAATATACATCAATTCTGTAGATAAACTCTCAAATAAAAGTAACTGACAGAACGTGAATTGAAAACCACAAATCAAATATAGCAAAATTGTAAGTACCTAACAAAGTAAACAACATACAGTCATATAACCGCCCTATATGCACGTTCAGGTAATGAGGTTATTGAGGTTATGGAATATACTATAGGTAAACATAAACGGTGGGTTTCCTTTGGTAATTTTATAGCGCGTCTTAATTAAAGAAAACGTACGTGTTAATTAAGCTCGAAATAACCTAATATTATTCCGTTTAAAATCTTTGGATGTAAACTTAACAAGAAGCTATTTTCAACAGCGATCAAAATAACAATGAGGTTATAATTATACATTAATCAGTATTTTTAACTTAAGTTTAATTTAAGGTAAATCATTTAGCTCTATAATACAAACAACATTCCACCCTGTAATTAAATTAATAGTTTATGAACGCTTCAATTGTAATAAACCATCTTGTTAATCAATGACGTTATTTCGCTAATTATACCTGCGACTACGACGCATATTATTATGAACATGCAATTTCATAAAACGGAATAAAGCAATTGTTTTGAGTTACGATGGAGGCTCAACTAGAATACATTAAAGAAAGGTATAGTTCGTTAATTTAAATTGTGCATTCGTCTTAATCTTTATTCTAATCTTTACTAATATTATAAAAGCTGAAGAGTTTGTTTGTTCGGTTGAACGCGCTAACCTCAGGAACTACTGGTTCGATTAAAAAAAACAATTTTGTGTTGGATAGAGCAATTATCGAGGAAGGCTATAAGCTATATAACACCACGCTACGACGAATGGTAAAACGGGAACAGCGACAGCATATGTCCACCTTTTAGTTTGACTCACTATATCATTTTTCTCAAATCAACCACATTCATAGACTGTTAAGCGACACAATGTTTGCCGGGTCATCTAGTACAATCATAAATAAGTTGCCTTTTGTTTTTCTATAATGAATCGACCGTTGATACTCTACGGGGAGGAACCGGGTTCAGCATAACCAACACGCGCGCAATCAACTTTTGCTACCATTTTTACCAGACTTTAGCAAACCAAAAAAGGAGTGTTATATTTACGTGTGTATACTGTTGGTAACTGCTGAATGAACTTGATTACCGGGTTCGAGAGACAGCGAGATCTTTAGCATTCATCCGATGGAAATTAAGAAAGCTGCTTAGTTTCTGTAACCGCAAGCGGAAAACGCTTGCGATGCGAATGCGCTATTCAACTTGTTAGAGGTTCATGTATGTAATAAAACATAATAAATACTTAATATGATTCAAGATCGAACTGAGTGGCGTGCATTTGGAGCGGCCTATCTATTAGTCCAGCAGTGGACTAAGATAGGCTGTTGATGATGATGATGATTATTCAGAAAGTTATTATATCATGAATGATGATTACAGCGCCACTACGGCTCTTGTTATATTGTCATTTTTCTGGTATATATTTTTTTCGTTCATAAATTTGGTATCAAAGGCCCAGCACAGGTCCCAAAAACAAATCTATTCAGAATATCGCAAACCTATACAGACGTTAATAGTGTTTGTTTATGTAAAACCTCTCTATTCGGTCATTATATGAAGATATAAGAAGTACTTTTTTATAAATACTGAGATATATATTAATTTATAGAAAAAGTAGGCAAAAATACAATGTTACAATGTTTATAAGTTTTTTTTTTATAATATAGTATATACTATATTTGAATTGTAAATGAGGAACTGGCAAACAAATCGGTATAATTACATAAAATAAAAATTTACAGGAGCGGTATAAAACGGAATGACATACCTATAGTCAGCTTTTGGTATGGTTGTTAATTTATAGATTTAGTTATTTTAACAATGTTTTGATTGAAAATTATTTGAGATTGAAATTTTCCCGCCCCGAAACCTCCAGACTGTAAAAAATGTAATTTGACCAGATGCGTAATAATACCGTTTTGTTCGCCAGCTCCTCAAATATAACATTTCCTCGATATTTATATAGAAACAAATTTGACTTCAAAACGTTAAAACAGTTAAATTTGTTAAATAAATTTTCGTATAAGTATTGAATTAACTACCTGTGTGCCAAATTTCATCCAGCCATTTTGCCTAGCTGGATAACAATCAAAACTTTCACATTTATAATCAATAACAATCAACTCCCAGAATAACACTTCAATAATGTGGTAACCCTTTAACAATGTATGCGCACGCGACGCAATGTTATAATTTCTCGCTAAAAAATGAACTAGGAAGCTGATAGCTTGCTTTCAACTCGGAAGACTTGTAACATGATTCATTTTTGTGTACCAAAGTGTTGCAATGCGAATGAGTGTGTTGTCATAGTGTTAATTATAATTCTTTTATCAACACATGAAGAAATAACTACTTAATACCACAACAACAAGAAAATATTTTGTTTGTGACTTAACTGTCTTTGTGTGATTTACGCTTTGACTACGGGACCATAGATTTCATGGTGGGTGGGTGAAGAAGATTGCCTTCAATCACACTTCGCATCAGGTTGATTCCGTAGGACGTATCAGTAAGATACATAGTGGATTAGTGGCATACGCTCGAAAACTAACAGTGTCAATAATATATTCCTTAGAAATTCACAAATGATGTATATCTTACAACAACATATAAAATTACCCATTCCCAGTAGCGGAACGATCAGTAGCCGATAATGATTCTGACACAAAACATTAATCTGAGCTGTAATTTGTCATAAATTCAGTTGTCATACATGCAGTTGGTTTTCGCCAACTGGGCACGTTCGAATTATTAGGGATATTTTTCCGTAGTAAAATGTAGCCTACGTGTTAATCCATGGTGTTAGCCAACTCCATACCAAATTTTATTAAAATCGCTCCAGCCGTTTAGACGTGAAGAAGCAAACATACACACTCACAAACTTTAGGCATTATAATATTAGTGTGATGTGGACACGCGTAAAAATCTTGGCGTGGCTAGGTGACGAAAAAAATTAGTGATACTAATTTTGAGTTTCACTACCTGGATGGATACACACGTCGATTTGGTGGATAACCGAAAAAGGAATGTGCTAAATTCAGTATTACAATAAACAGGGTGTACAAAACGAACGGATTGCTGATTAAATGGGATAATATTATTATGTTAACATTCACTAAAATAATTAAAGTAATTTCTAAGTTACTAAGCGATGAGACCATCGATGTAAATAACTTCAAAATAGAATGACAATTTGAGGCAATTATTTGTTGAAAGTGATTAAGTGAGGAAACTTTCGATATTAATGACATCAAAATGGAAAAAAATAATAATTACGCTCTTATTTTTTTATTATGATGTTTCATGCCATATCAACAGTTGACTTTATTTTTTGTAGATCCTGTAAGTATTTGAAAAAATATTTGTCCCGAAAACCACATGCACAGAGTGAAAGCACCGCTGCGCATCTGTGCCTCTCAGTTTTACTGTAGCGTCTTGGAATCTGCCCAATGCGATAGATAGACGCTATGGACAGCTAGTAATGACGCAGATCAACGAAGCATAATTATCTCCTTTTCTTAAATCGGTTAAAATAGTTTGAAAAAACAAACAAATCTTGACCATCGCCTTACCAAATTTATTTTTTTATATTTCAAACCATGTCATACTTTGTAAT